ATATTTCCTTCCTCCATTCTCAGGGTGTTTTCAGTTCCTTAGAAACTGCTTCCAATTATTAGTTTTGTCTGTGGTTGGTCTTCAGTTTTGGAGACTGATTTAGACGTGGAATGTGTTTTTATCACATACACGTATATATCTTCAGTGCTGCGGTAAGTTATGTTTATTGAGTGACTTTATTTCTTGTGTATTTCTGGAGTAAAATGCAAGCGTGAGTGCCTGTGAAGCGTTAAAGAGCCAGTCACGTTCTGGGCAGCAGGAGGCCCTCCAAGCCATCACATCAGGCTCTGGACATAGATGTGAGCCCTGGAGGTACCCACTGCAGGGTGTGCGTGGTGGCTCAGAAGGGGCTCCCGCAGGCTCTTCCAAAAGGTGTTGTAAACACTTTCCCAGAAGCTCCCCCAAGATTTTTCTCCTTCTGCCTGTGACAAATCACATATCCCTGGGGTGTATATGACTGCAGACACGACGGGTGTAGATGAGCTGTTTTGTTTCTCATTAGAACTAAACTTTTGCATCAACAAAAACAGAAGTAGTACTGTTAGATATATCATTCCTTGTAACTTCAGCCCAACGACCCTTTCAAAGGAAGAAATATTTCCCTGGATGTTTTGTGTTCCCAGAAAGCTGTGGGACATCAGACAGACTCTCAGGGGATGCTGATTCTACTGTGGGAACAACAGAAATTAAATCCTCATCCTATTAGGTATCGCCAACTTTGAGAAATTCCTGGCTCAGAAGAGTTTTCAATCTGTTTAGGGGCACACATTGATGAATATTTTGGATGAAACCTTGGCCAAAAAATCAGTCTTTAACCTTAGCTCAGAATAAGCTACAAACACCTGGTTCTGTGCTGGGGAGTTCCACCAAGAGGTTTTACTGTTGTTTCTTCCCAGCCTTGCTTCTGTTTCACATGGACATTTTTGACACAGCGGTCCTCAGTGTGCTTGAGAGATAGCACTGGAATATTTAATTTCCTCTGTACGTATGCACATTCACACATTCAGTGATGCTATGACTCACAGGGACTGCTGAACCCCAGCCCCTGTGCCTCATCACCAGCAACACCACGCTCCATTGCTGACAGTCCCACGGGTTCTGCCCTGTGCCCTGAGTGAGATCGAGACATTGTCCTTGGAACAGTCATGGGTTTGGGTGTCAGGTTTTTTTGTTGCTTTTGTTGTTGTTTTTGTTAAACTAGAGATTAGTGTAAGCCCTGCTAGTGGCAGTGGCGAGGGGAGGCCTCGTGCAGGGCTGAGAGGCATCCCAGGCGCTGCTGTCCTCTCTCTTGCTGGAGTGATGGACCCCAGGAATGAGGGGTCCCAGCCCCTGTGAGGAGTGAAAAGGCAGCAGGACCTGTTCCTGCCTCCCGTCCCGGCTCCTTGTGGGGCTCCTCCATCTCTCTGGGGGTGGGAGGGTCTCTGAGATCCCCAGGAAGAGCCATGCTGGAAGTGACAAGAAGCTCCTCCTCATCGGGACCTGCAGGGCTGCCCGCTGTCCAGCGTTTGGGGTGCCAGTGCCCTGCAGGGAGGCTGTCAGGCTGCTCTCAGCTGTGGACTCTGACAGAAGTGTGACGACTCAAGCTAGAGAGCCATCTGCCCTCACTGAAAATCTGACAGAAATCATAAGCCTCCCACAGAGCAGGCAGCTGAGTTTTCTCCAGGTCCACTGGAGGATGCAGCGGAGGCAGAAATGTGTGGTTGCAGGAAGCACTTAGGCCACATCAGCTCTCACGTCAAGGCAGATGGGACATGAGCACACGTCTTCCATCACCATGTGTTTTACATGCAGTGGGCTGGTGGAGCTGAAGATGAAGAGCTGCTCCCCTTGCTGTCACCGTTGCAGCAGGTGTTTTGGCACTGCCCAACAACGAGAGGCCAGTTGCTGTCCCAGGGGCTGGGCAGCAGCAATGTCCCGGTCCCTCGGCAGGAAACCCTCCCAACCTCACAGCTGGTACATTTGATGCTCAGCACAGGATGAGGCTGAGTGAGCAAATTAGGATGAAGCTTGGTCCTAATTCATGCCATATTTCAAAACCCAGCATTATTTCTAGGCTCTTAAATACCACGTCTCAGCCAAGGCCCTGCTCTAAGCTGCAAAAATGTCTCCATTCTCCAGTTATATACAAGGCACACACATTCACCATATAATGTGGAAGTTATGGGATTACCAATCCTTTAAAAAACGCATTTCAAATAAAATAGAGATTTAAAATTACCTCAATTATACCTGTTTTTTGATGTCTTTCATATTTCACTTCGCCATGACTTTATAAGAAATCCTGACAACCGCTTTCATTCTGTAGATGATTTACAGCCATACACCCCGCAGCGACTGCTGTGTTCCTGGGGTTACAGTCACTTAGAATTTTTTGTCTGCTATTTACTGCTTCTGTGCAATTATTTCTTCTGTGCAAGGGAATATAACCGTATGAATGTTCCTCTGATTACTTGCGACGGCTGAAATATGCTAAAGGGGATTTCTCAGCATTAGGAAATTCTGCAGTAACACGCGGCAGAAAGGAAAGGCAGAGGATTTAAATCTCTAAGAAGCGAGCGGCCAAGGTCATTAATACGTACCCCCCTACAGATTCAGACAGCTGAGAAAGAGCAGGGGTGTAAAGCTGAAATAACCCAGATCTCACATTTAGACTGGGGAAACAGCCTGCAGGCTTTGCTTGGGAATTCAGTATCAGAGGCAGCTGTTGGCATAGGCTATAGGACAGACAGCACATACACTGACTGTGCAGTGAGGGCTGATAACTGCACCAGAACCCCACAGCACACCAACCAACCAACACCACAGACCACCCTTTTTCCTGCCCTCGGGATATGGTGCAACTGCATTAATGTGGTAACAGTATATCCTTCAAATTTGACCTCCTCACTTTCCAGAATCGCTTATGAATACAATTTTTGATTTTCTTCATTATTCAAACTTGCTAATGCACTTCTTCCAGCAAGTATTCAGAATCTATTCTTGCATGCCCATGAAAGTCATACCTCACTTGTCTTCTCCTCGACTACCCTTATGAGAAATCATTTGAGTCAAGAATTTCAAAATTAAAAAGTAGGGATTCCATTCTAGCAAAACACATGCAAATCAGGCCCTTATCAGAATAGCAACATTTGCTATTTTTAAGTTTTTTCTTCTTTTTTTCCCCCCAGCAATAGCTGACCAAAGCAAACGAGCATGCGTTCCTATTACTCACAGGCTTTCAGTCAAGTCACTGGTAGCATATGCTGCAACGTAACATGAGTAGGAGCAGCAGAATCTTTCCCCTAAGCAATTATTTGCACCAAACAGCTTCCCAATGAAACAGTTTGCCACAAATTTATGTTTTTATAGTTTTTTCTTTTTTTTTAATTAGTTCAGCTGTTAAACTTAACAACGAGCTGTCAAGATCGGTCTGGAAATTTAAGACCTGTTTCAGACACACCTTGAGCTCTGGCTATAAAAAATAAGCCTCCAGCATCAGCCAATAAAACAGCAGCGGCTTCAGCAAGTTTCCAGAGGGCTGAGAAAGGGAATATTCACCCTGAATGTCTGAAATATCAGTTAAAATCTCTGTTTGAAGGCAGCTGGTGAGAAAGACAGGAAGAGTCCTGCTGACAGACTTCACTTCTTAGCTGTAGAAAACAAGAGAATACGACGTGCCACGGAAAAATATCTGGGCAGGCAGGAATAGACTTGGGAAAAACTTGCTTGTACAAACATACTCAAGTGAAGAACCTCACACCGATGGAGATCTGAGCCCACCAACAAATATAATATTACATCTTACTGTCTGATATCCCCCAGAGGAGACCCTTGTGTGTATCCTACTTCAAGGCCACTTGAAGTGTGTCACTGCTTTTCTCCCCAGCTGCCCCACAGATGTTTATGGGAAGGCTAACAGGTATACTATTTGTATTCTTTAGATGTAGGATGCTCCAAAATGTACACAACCCTTCAGTCAGACCTGATTGATCATAAAACCATGCTTCTCTTGTAGCCTGCTAAGTTACTTCAGTTTAGAATGCACTGTAAATCATGAAAAAAAAAAAAGGATTTACACAATGATTATGTATTCTGTGAAAGACCTGAGTGGGAAATCACAGCTTTGAATACGGAAGATGAAATCTAAACTGCACACCGGCCAGTGCAGCCTGGCTCATGTATTTTGCTTTGCATCCTAGTATGCTGGGCTGAAGGATGTTTATGTTAGTCAGTAGAATGGAGAAAAAACGTAGCTTTTGAGGAATGGATGCTAGATGCTATTAAGTAAGGAAACAAAATGACAACTGAAGTCATTTTTTGGAAAGCATTGGGACAGGACTTTAATACAAATACAAGCAAAGACTTGCTCAGACAGATAGCTACCAAAAGCAAAGGAAATGAATTATTATGCAGAAAGGGTATTTTACAGGTGGAGAAGTTGCATAAAGTTCTGCTTCTTTTTTTTTTTTTTTTTTTTTCAGAGTGAGGAGGGCAACAAGACCTGCCGAAGAAATAACTGAATGAAATGCACAAGGATATGAAAATGGAAATCACTGCATTGAACTGCTCCAGAAATGCAAATTTTGTGAAGCAGTTTGCATTAGAAAAAGCCAAAGAAACTGGCCGTGTGAAATGATATCTGACACCAGTCATTTCTAAGAAATGTATCAAAACAGAAGTGGACAACTGCTGATATGAAAGTAGCAAGCATCTAATAACAAGCAAAGGAGAAGCAGTGAACTTAATGCTTTATGGAGAGGAACTAGAAGAAAAACATGACTCTTATGTACAGTTCCTTACACAGACAAAAATCCAGTCATAGATTTTATTGATGTCTGCAGAGGAAACGCTAAGTCACAGCTGGAAGCAGTGATTGAGCACGTGGTAGAGGGCAGGGCCAACCCAGGGCAGCTCAGGTGCATGCAATGCAGCTGAGTGATCAGAAGAGGTGGAGCCAGGATCCACCCCTTCCCAGACCTCATTTAAGGGCTGGCAGTGGAGGAGACAGGCTTTCTTCTGGAGATCACTATGTCCCTGAGGGTTTTACAGGTCTTTTAAAGGTAAGAATTTTTTTTCTCTTCTGCACTTACTGCTGTTGCATCTGAGTGCATTTTCTGTTGCTGCTGCATTGTTGCCCCCAGCTATAAGTGTTTTAAAGTTCAGCAGCACTCTCCCATGCCCAGCGGAAGTCCACTCATGGATATAAGCATAAGCTGTGAATCCAGATTAGGGCGCAGTTATGTTTTCACAGCTATGTAATAATGCATGTATAGTTACATACAGCCCTCCGCTCGAATCCATAGCTAATGGTGGTGACTGTATTAAAAAATAGAGCAAGTTTTCAGCTACAAAATACTATCAAATTGTGTTCTTGCGCTCTTTTTATCTGCTGTAGTTTCTGTAGAAATAAGTAGGAGGCATTACTTCCAGAGTAATGTATCTAACTGTATGGGAAGATGGAAGTCAACAGAGTCATGAGGTGAGATGTTACTCATCGTGGCTGTTGCAAATGATTTCTCCAGAGGCTATAATTTCACTGATGAACTTACTCATTGTAACTCATTTTGCACAACAGTCATGCTCATAATTCATTCTAAAGATATCTGTACTTCCATGGTTTGCATTAGGTCCTGACTAGCTGTCCTCCAGGGGTAATGTGTCCCCATGGGGCACTCTCAGCACTCAGTAATGCTGTGCTTAGGGATATCAGCTTATCCAAGAGAAATATCTTCTCTCAGAAGATGCTGTAATCTGGATTTAGCACTGAAGGATTGGTTACCCCAAATGAGACCTCAATGAGTGGTGTGACCCAGGGCTAAGGCAGGGTGTCCAGCATGATCTGGCAGTGCTTTACGGTGGAGGTGCACGTGGTTCAGAAGAAAAATAGATGCTGGGAAGCCATGGTAATTGCAGCTGTCCCTCCGTATCCTCGCAGCAGCCCTAGACACCTTTTCAGTCACAAGCTGAGGGTCTTCAGCTCACAGCTGTATATCTGGATGCTAAACCTCACCTAAATTCTTCTTTTGTTAATTTAATCCCTTATTTGAGTCTAGTTCTCTGCCTCTGTGCTTTAATTCACTGTAAGGCATTGCTGTCCTGAGGCTTGAAGCCTCTGGGAAGGGAGTACCAGCTAGCTTCAATTTAAAGTAAGAATGATACAGCAAAGCCATGAGATGAGTCTGGGGCTTTCTGAGGCAAGCTCATGCAGCAACAGTGGGTCAGAACCACTGTGCTGTTAAACACAAACGTAAAGAATGGTGTGGCAAATTACTTTCCCAACAGTAGCTTGGGAACAATATGAATGTGTCATCCAGTGGCTTTTCTAATTGTTTTCTATTGACATGTTTGATGGCTGAGAAATTTTGCTTATGAATCTCCCACTCGAACACAAAAAAGGAAAGCAGGTAAGAAAGCATTCGGGACAGACCCGCATCAGGAGACAGGCTTGTTTAAGAGTATTAAAATCACTGTTATGTCAATGTAACTAGACAGCCAGTATGCAGTCCCTGGCTATTTATATCTCACAAATAAGATGAGCAGACAGCTAATATAGCCGCGGGTCGGCAGAAACAGAGCAGTGCAGTTTATTAACAAGCCTAGGTGGATGTGGCACTTGATACATCCGTGTGTGAAATTATTTTTATCATTTACATGTTCATAAAGGTCACGGAAGCTTTAAATATGAAATCGAAATAAAATTAAACCTTGCTGAAGATAGCAGGATCCCTCAGGCGTTTGGAAGCTGTCAGCACCTTAAACAGCAGTTGTAGAGAGAAGTGGACTAAACTGCTGGGGATTTCAGTCTGCACAGGAAAAAAAAAAACCAACAGTGCCATCTTTCCAGCGTTAGAGAAAGTAACAGTCATTTAAAAACATGGGGCAATTATCAAGCAATAGGGAAAAGTAACCACCTTAGTACAAACTTCGTTATGTAGACTTTCTGGCAAATGACTTGAAACATAGATCTGTTCTACTTAAAATATTGCAATTAAAAATAACTATAGTGGATAGCGTTATATCAATTCCATTGACCTTTAGACCTCATCAACTGGCTAATTAGGCAGCAAGTAATTTAATTGTGAGGAGAGGTGTTAGCGGGCTTAATATACCTGCATAATGTGTGTGTGTGTATACATAAATATATAGCAGAGACAGCTTTGTGCTGTGAAAATGAAATGAAAGAACTAGCCCTGCATCATCACGTGTTACATATTTTGCTTTACCCTTTTCTCAGTTGGAAATATTAGCCATGACATGCTATGGCCTATGTGCTTGCTGAAGCCCAAGGGAGGTCCCAGCAGCTTTGGCACGCCCATCTTGCATTCTCTAAAAGGAAAATTGCCATTCTTTTTTTGTTTTCTTATGTTTAAAGAGTTATTAGCTGAAGACAATAGTTTTCTGGTGTTTAAAAAAAAAAAAAGCCTATGGGTTTTTTTTCACAACTTCATTCAAGAACTGAACAGTTGTATAGGAAGCGTAACCAGTTCCAGTTTTCTCCTGAATGCTTACAGCCTAGAAGTTTCCAGAAGTGAGGGGGGGAAAAAAAAAGATGCAGAAACTTCTTGTTTCCTTCAAATGCACAGCAACAGCTGCAGTGCTGACTTGTGTCTTTTGGATGATTGCTTGTGTGTGTAAACAGCTGCCCAATGGCATGGGTAGGAATGAAGTTTTTGGGCTGTGCTAAGGATCTGGTCATAAACCAAGCATTTGGGATGGAATGGCAGGCTGTTAGCCAACACTGAAAAGTGCAGGGAAACTGCAAATTACATATTTTCTTTCTGATAAAACTGAGAGCAAAGTCCTCCTTAACAAATTTGTCTGCTGGTTACTAAGGAAATACCCAGAGAGAAGGAATAGCCTGTGACAGTCATGGCAATGACGGATCCTGGTTTGTTCTTGGTTATGGTCAGAAATGTGGTTTCTCTCACTTGAAGTGCTCTATTTGTCATCAGGCAGCCTATTTGTTTGAATGTGACCAGAGTTAGATTTTATTACAGAACTCAGTTTGTTGGTAGATTTAATCCAGTGGTCTCAGCATGCCTTAGAGTTGAATAGGATAAGAGTTTCATAGCCTTTTCTGTAAGGGACAAAGGGCAGAGAGGTTCAGCTTGTTTATTTCTAAGATTTTGGTTCTAAGAAATGAGGTTCTAAACCCGCAACTAGAGGGAGCAACAAGAACCACTCTGCATGCAGAGTTTTTCTCTGAAATAAGTGAACAGTTCAGCAGGAGCTTTTTTTTTCTTTTTCTCTATTTTCAGTTGTTATTGAATTTTCTTTTTTCTAACTTTCCAACTTCCAGTCTTTTGTTGGCATAAGGCAACACATGATGATTCTGTTAATGCATTTGTTAATGCATTAACTGTTGACTCCGATGAAAGTGGAGAATACCAATTTTTGAGTTATCTGGAAACCTTTGGGTTGTTTAGTTCAGGTCTGTAGATACAGAAAATAAACCTTGACATTTTTCTCAGAGGGTTAAATTGAACCTCAGAAAATGTAATTAGAGCACAGGCTTTACAGCTGAAATCTGGTGGTGTAATAATTGTTACTTCAAGACTGAGAATGTGAACAATGAAATTATTCCTTAAGTAATAGCACTGATAAATAGTCTGTAACTCCAGGAAAACATTCTCACAGTTTGTGATCATTTTCCTAGGTCATTGACATCAAAACCCTTATATTCAACTGCACTCAAATTGCATATACAATCACAATAATTTTCTTGTTGAGAAAACCATTCTAATAATGCTTTTTATTATTTCCTCATCATCATGGATACTGGTCAGGCCAAGGAAGTTCTAGAAGCATCTGGACAACACTTGCAGCAACAGCATTTGAAGTTCAGGCAGTTACAGAGCCAGCCATCACAGGTTCCTTCTGTAGGAAATATCCAAATAATTTTCTAGGACGGTATCTCTGATAAAGCAGATTTTATTCACAATTGCAATGGCGGGCCTCCTGCAAGCAGGAGAGCACACAGAAAACACAGTTACTTCTTTCATTCTCTATTCCCTGACGCTCATCTCTTACTCCCCCGGTTCCTCATCTGCTGAGTACTTCAGGTTCACAATCTTCTCAACGCTTCACTCAACATGGAAACACTGGACAAACATTAATTTTTGCTGCATATGCGTCAATCTGTAGTTAATTAACTTATTCCACATCTGATTGTTATTTTGTGGATATCTGCTTGTCCTTTCTACCAAAATAAGCTTGGGAGAGAGGCAGGGGAGTATCCTGGTGCCTGCCTTCACACCCCAACCTTCTCATGGAGTGAGACAGTCCAGCCGTGTGTAGAGGCCCTAACTCCTCTGATGTTTGCTAAATCTGTCTGTCTTTTGCTGAGAGTTTCTTATCCTAAGAAGAGTTTCTTATCCTAAGAGAACGTCTCTACAATGTTTTCTAATCCTTAGCACACTATACTCGCATTGTTTGGAACATTTGACAACTATTTCTAAG